CTCCTCCAGATTGTTCATCCAGCCTGTCCTATCCAGACAGACCGATAGTGGCCTTTTATCAGATATATGTCTCCCACATATTTTCTCTCCTTTTGGACACTGTGTCTTCAGTTTGTTGAAAATATCTTTTGATCTATGGACTTTTTTCATTTTAATGCCGTCCAATTTATTTTGTATTTTGTTCCGCATGCTTTTGTGTCAAGTCTAAGAATTTATTGTTGAACAATCACCTCTAAAGGATTACCCTTAAGTATTATTCTAAGAGTTTTATAGTTTTACTTCTTACATTTAAGTCATTGGTCCATTTTGAGTTAATTTTCACATATGATACGAGGAATTAGCTCAACTTAATTTGTTCACATATGGAAATCCAGTTGTCCCCCAATATTTTATAATTATTACAGTTATGTGATCATGTTTTCAACCCTGTGAAAATGAATAACTCCCCAGCTTCCTCCTTTGGCATGCACCCTGTTTTGTTGTTGACATACAGTGAATCACAAGTCCCGTGACCCCAAGGTCTTGGCCAGACTGCCACTTTATTACACGTCCTATGTAATGCCAAGAAGTATGCAGATATTACATATACTACATTCAACCTTCTGTTAAAGGTATCATTCCTTCTAATGTCTGAGCTGTGGTGCACCTCTGAGAAAAGTTCACTTGGATAAAAAGTTAGACACAACCCAAACCAGAACTCTGTATGTACAACTCAGTGACTGTTTTAGAGGAGACAGATAGTAATCGGACAGCCTATTTGTAACTCCCTGATGTAAAACTAGTGGATCCACCATGTCAAATTGTTGGTGGCTCACATCATTTGGAGCAAGTTTGATGTGGAACTCTAATGATAACTTCATTTTTTCCCTTAAAGCTCTGTGAGGTAGGTTTCTCTTTATTCCCTAATGGAAACATTGAACAGCATAGTTTCTGGACATGTAGCCTTGGAACAAGAGGTTTTTCCATTTTGGGTCTAACCTTATTTTCTGGGAAAGGAATGCACACAATCTGATACCAAGTGGCGTAGCATTTCACTTTGTTAGGTCCTTTCATTGCCCAAGAGCAGGAAAATCATTACAGACCTTTGCTAAATCATTGCCTGAGATTTTGCTTTAATAATTACTTTGTAATATGTTTATATATTACACAAACACATCCCACCAGTTGTCAGTATATTGTACTGTGGTGGTTTGCATGTTGCTGTGATGGTGGAAGCTATGCCATTAGGATTTCAAATAGCAGTAAGTGTCATCCATGGTTAGCATATATCAGTGGAAAAACTAGATATGAACAGACAAGGAAGAAGGAATTGAGTGTCCACTTCTTTAGGATTAGCCACCGAAAACTTTAAAATAACTGGAATAATTTCAATATATTGCCAGAAGATAAGCCCTTCAGGTTAATAGGCATTCAAAATAGAACTGGGGATATGCTGCCTACATAGCAAATAGAGTACAGCTTTCAGGACCTTCATTTGCTGATGGGGTGTGACTCAAAAAGAACCAGCTACAAATATTCATTAATAACTGGAATATCAAAATATAAATAAATAATAATAACTGGAATACAAAATGTTTGAAGTATGAATCTAGGAAAATTGGAAGTCATCAAAAAAGAAATGCAACTCAGAAAGATCGACATTTTAGGCACTGGTGAGTTGAAATGGACAGGTATTGGCCATTTTGAGTCAGTCATGGTTTACTATACTGGGACTGACAAATGTCAAGAGGAACAACATCGCATTCATTATCAAAAGAGCATTTCAAGACTTGTCTTCAAGTACAGTGCTGTAATACAACTATTCAAGTTTCTGCACCAACCACTAAAGCTAGTGATGAAGACTCTTACCAACTTCTGCAATCTGAAATCAATCAAGCATGCTATCAGGATGCATTGTTAATTGTTGGTGATTGAAATTCTAAAGTCAGGAAAAAAAAGAAAGTCAGTGGTTGGTTATAGAAATGAAGCTGAAGGTCACATGATAGAATTTTTCAATACCAATGACTTCATTGTAAATACCTTTTTTTGACAATGTAACAACGACTGTACTCACAGACCTTGCCAGATGGATGTAAAGGAATCAGTTTAACTACATTTGTCATCAGAGAGGGTGGAGAAGTTCAGGATCATCAGTTAAAACAAAGCCAGAGTCTAAATGAGGAACAGATCATCAGTTGTTAATATGTAAGTTCATCTTAAAGCTGAAGAAAATTAAAACAACCCCAGGAAGGCTGGAATCCAGCCATATATACATCCCATCTGAAGTTAGATAGTATCTCAAGAATAGATTTTATTCATTTAACATTAACATCTGAAGACCTATAGAGCCGTGAGATGACATCAAGAACACTGTACAATAAGAAAGGGCAAGGATGGAGCTATACTGATGCAGTCA